ATATGCTCAGTTTAAGAGTATTATTGAAACTTGCTATGCCATCAGAGCAGAGCACGATACGGCGTACAAAAACGCCCTATGACGGTCTCTGGTATGTTATCAGAGTTGGACGAGTCTTTTAAGTAATGTTGAACTCGAAATCTTCTTATGCATCATGATGAAACTCATTCCTCAATCCCACTTTTCTGGAAAAAATTCTTCCAATACACAAATCAACTGAAAAAAAAGGATTTTTCGGGCTGCTAAAATCCAGAGAGCGACAGAAAATTAGTATAGCAACATTTATCGATGTGTACAACTTGCGTATTTGCTATTAGTTCAAAAAGCAATCAAAATAACTAACGGTTACTAAGTGATATTTCTAAGATGATTTTATTCTATATTTAGATCAAATGACCGAAACAATAGTTACGAAAATATTTCTTTCAAATTATGATTTAATTTTGTATATCCATCAATTGAAATATACAACTGTTTGTAACTTATATTTCAAATTTGACTTTATTTTATATTTAGATTGATTTACTCATTTCAATACTTGATTGAGTTTTCATTTCAATATTCAATTTCATTTTCTATTTGGAATAATTGATGCGAGAAAGAGTAAGGTAAGTGATATTATAAACGTAGTTCTTTTTTATATTTAGATTAATTGGTCAGTTGAATATTTACACGAATTTTCATTTCAGATTGTAATTTGGTTTTGTATTTAGAGCAATCGGAATTGGTAATGGTAAGGTAACTCACATTTCTAATAAATTCTTATTTTATAGTTAGATTAAATAACGGCACCTATACTACGTGAGTTTTTATTTAAAATTGTTATTTAATTTTCTGTTTAGATCAGCTCACCGGGTGTGGGAGTGGATGTGTGAGCGCGTGTGAGGTGTAGGTGTCGGTGGTTGCAGATAATACCCACACCCTCATAATCTATTATTAACATGAAATATTGAACGGATGAATCATATTTTACGTAGACGTTTTATAGTTAGTGGTTCATTCATAGAAAAATCAACTTAGAAGTAATGAGATTATCAAAAATATAAGCTTCAACGAATATAAAGAATAAGAAAATCATCTTGAACAAGTTAAAAAAACATCTAATTTACATTATTCTAAACCAATTCAAAGTAAAGTACAGTTTTTCTATGTATAATATAACAGATTATATACAAAAAGTATTGAAATTACAATTATTTATTAAACAACAGCGAATTGAAAAATATTTTATTTGAAGTATTTCTGTTCGTACAAATGATAAAAGCCAAGTCTTAAACTATTCGAAAGTATGGTTTTTATTAAACAAATGCGACCAATTTCAAGTTTGAACAAATTTTCAAACTTCTTTGAACATATGGATTTTGAAGAAGAAATGTTAGCTTGCGTTTCTTATATGAAGTTTCATGAATGTACTACACTTTTTTTAGGAAGAGGAGATAGCTACACAATCAAAGAATACTTACAGCAATATCGCTTTTAAACCATTCCAACACATGTAGTGTTTCTTAATGTATAAAGAGAAGTTACCATGTGTGTATGTAGGTTTGCAAAGCAATAAAATGATGTCTCTAATAAGAGTATACGATATGGAAAATTTTTATCAAATAACAAAAGTTCATCGATCATTACTCACCTTAAATATCCATGTATATTCGATACTCAAACGAATTGGTAATATAATCTTCTTATCCTCAATGAAAATCCAATCGACTACACTCGAATGTAGACAGAAATGCCATCCAAGATAGAAGATTTATTGCTTCATGGGATCGAAAGTTTTTCTGTGATGTACAGAAAATGGAAGTACATTCATCGTTGACAAAAATCAACGGATCTTTTATGATATCTTCATATGATTTTCATTTCGTTCTTGACTGGTTGTTATTAACTCAAAACGAGTAAGAAGTACAGATTGTCATTTTGGTATATGTCATTTTAGTCTGTTCTGTTGATTATCATAGTATATTTTCTGATGCGTTCTTTTATGTTCTTCAAGTATCGTGTACTGAAGACATCCTCCTCCCTCTTTCTAGGATTTTTGAAGAATAGCTCATCAGAAAAAATTGAAACTTTCAGAACAGATAGATTTTAGTGAACAGAGCAAAAGTTCTCATGAATTCAAAATTCCTGGATGTTATCTTTTATGAGACACTAGGATCACAGTGGTGATAATTACTTCCCCCCCCCCCCCCCCATTTTTCACTTTTGTTGCTTCAAGATGCTACGCCTGATCGAGCTGAAAATTTTCTTTACACATATATAACAGTATTTGGGATGGTTATCTTTTTTTGTTTTTTATCCTTCGAATAGAAAAGCGAAAATGTCGAAGGTACTCTGAAAATAGCATTTATTTTTATAGAACTTGTTTTGTATGTTATTAAAAAAAATAGCAGAACGATGCTTTTAGAAATCACAAAAAATACGTATACCAAACAGTGTGTAGTATATGGGAAAATGTTTGTGCTTCAAACGGTACTCAGTAGATAGATACTACTTGCAGTTATGCGATGACTACACAAAATTCTATATTTTAAGTCAAAAAATGAGTGGAGACATCCGTAACATACTGTATCCTGCATTAGAACGTGTAGCATGGATAAGGTGATCAACAAAAGCATTATTGTACTATAGCATTAAAAGTTTTGACAGCCTACATAAAAACCCATAGAACCATAGATCAGACCCATCATCTTTCCATCCTCCATTTAGAACAGTTTAACTATGTCCCTCGGGATTTAGCCTGTTTAAATATTCTTGTGCGTCCTAGTACATATGTTGTTTAAAACTACTCATTTTGGATTATTGATTATTATTAATAATCGTGATTTAGAACTATGCCAAGAAACTCATTACATGTTTGTCAATCAACATGTCACAATAAAACTACTTATTCAATCAAGTCACATATATGATTATTTAGCATACTATTAATTGATCTTTGCTTGAAAGAAGATGATTTATGTAGTTGACAAATATTGTATAGATACTGGGTTTAGTATTATTGATAGACACATTCATAAACAATAATCAGATGGTTCTAATCATTTTTATCAACGAGTAATATATCAATATCTAAGATTTGAATCAGATAGTCGACCCAGCTTTGAAAGACTAAGACAGCTATTAGATCAATGAATATTTTTGAAAAACTTTTGCTCAAAATATACTATGACACTGATAAAAACACAAGCATTACCAGTAATAATTTAAACTGAATGGTATAAGTTAGAAATCACAATTGCTGCTATCCCAAACCATTAATTTTAATATTGGACTGGCTTAGTTATAAGTAAAACTGCGATATGTAACAACAAATGTATATATTTATGAATAAAAAAAAATGAACGACAGCAAAAAAAGAAACAGAAATATTTCGTCATCAACTTTTTTTGTCTTTCTTTTTATTCATTTCAATATTAAATATTGCCTTTTCAAATATTTGGAGCCAATTTACTTAATTTATTTAGAAGTTCATCAAATTTTTCAGAAGGCCATGTTGTAGAACTAGCAGGTGATGTCGTATCATAAAATTCAATATAAGAAAGACCTGAGACTAAATTTGCAATTTGTGCAGGTGGCCAGTTCAATACTTCAATCAATAATAATATAACTGGTTTATTCTGTTGCTTAGCAAAACTGAGTTCTTGTCGACATTTATTCGATTGTACATATCTATTAGTGATGCAGCAAACGAAAACTGTCGATTTTTGTATACCTGTTTCAATCTCTGGACAAAAATAATAATTATTACTCGGTATCTGTATTACATCTAGCCAACAAAAATAATTCTTCTCTTCAAGTTTTTGTTTCAGTTCCAGAACGGTGTCTCGATGAGTTCGTTCATAACTAAGAAATATATCGGTCATGAAATCTGTTGTATATAAATCAATGGAACATCGTCGAACACGTATTGGATAATTTGGATTAATGTCTAAGTCATGCAGAGTATCTTCGTTACATAGTTCAGCACCCTCGTAAGTTAAATTGAATGGGTAATCAATATGAAGTCTGTCAGATACAATCCTCTTGAGTTTATCTATTGTTATAAATTGGTTTTGAAGTGGAATTCTCTGTAGAGTGCCATAACACTCAACATTTACTGCATATTTGTTGGACATTACCTAAAAAAGAAAGTTTTCTACTGTATTGAAGATGATTCATTATCATTATGAAAAACATCTGCTAATTTACGGCCAAGAAATTGTACTTTTTATGTTAAAAATGACTGTTTTTTTCATGAGATGTGCACTTACTTCTTTCTCCTTGATGTATTTAGTGATGTGTAAATAAGAAAATTGAGATTTTTTTTTTTGTGAAAGTTTACTTCGAAAACAATGTGCTGCATATGAAGAACGAAAAATATGGAGCAGTTCCTCGTTTTTTTTTTATTTTATTTTTTGTGTCAGCATTTGTTTTATATTTTATAGAAACAAACAAAATACATTGAAAGTAGGCATTGTTGCTTGTTTGGTAGTTTCTTTTCTTTCTCCTGGAAGTTCAATCTAATGAATTCATGAGCCGTGCATATCGTTATCTTTGTTTTACTGTATAGAAAATCGATTGAATTTCAAATATAAATTCTAATGTAATGTACTATGAATAATCATTGTATTATATACCAATGAATTAATTAGTCTTATGATTAATTTGGATTTTATGTTGTTTTTTTTTCTATTATTATTTTCAGAATCAGCTCTTTGAAATGAATACACCATACAGTTATCCAATTGAATATGACAAGAGAATGCAAGTAATTTCATCGAGAGTTTTTAAAACACTATTTCTATACACGAAAACAGTTTTTTCAACATTTCAACATACTTCATACACTATTGTTTATATTCATTAGCCATTACCTAAAAACGAGTTAGCTTCGATACGCCGAAAGCAACACATTATTTAGATTTCATAGCAACTCATTATTCTTCTTTCAATTCTACAAAAAAAAGAATAGCTTACGCCAGAGGAGCGATTCAGTCCAAATTCTGATACTTATAAACAATTATTTCTCTGATTCTTATATTTTCGTCCAATAAAAAAGCAAATGTCGTTCTTCTTATCATTTTACTCTCTTAGAAAGTTCTTCTAGCAACTATATTGATTTAATCAATCTCCAATACGTAGAACAATAAACAAAAAAACTATCAAATTCTTATATTTATTCTTTCAAATTTACTACAGCTACTGCAGCAGAGAGAGAAAAAACATAAAGTATGCCATAAATTATTTTATAGTACCGTTTATACAGCTGATACAGATAGAGAGATTTTCAATGTTTAACACATTAAAAAACAAAGTAATTTTACTAATGACCTTCAAAAGAAAACATATGTGAAGACATGTTACACTTCCTAAAAGATATTATCGATTGTCTTGAAGCTGAAGAAATCTTGATTATCAAAGCAAATAATCTATTTCTCAACGAGTAATGATTGGAAAGCCTTCTAGCATCCTCAAAAGCAAACATAGAAGAAAAATTAACAAAACTCTATTCTTTTCCATTTGTTTTGATTCCATTTTGAAAGAATAAGATCGATTTATAACATATTTCTCACATCATTTACTATTGTATTTGTGAAACTCAAGATTCTACTATTTATATTGATTCACAATATAATCAGGTAATCAGATACTTTGAGTACATGTGAAAGTTAAATTAAGAAAAGTTGAAAGAAAACTAAAAAGAAATATAATCGTCTCGACAACCGTTATCTTTTTATTATTAATTGATACACACAAATTGAGTTTACAAAACTGCATACTATTTGTATTCTAGAGTTGTTAATGATATCAGTATAAGAAACATCAATAAACTTGTTTAACATTGTCATGAAACTAATTAAAACTGCTATTCTTAAATAATATCATAGAGAAAAAAACAGAAAGAAATTAAAAACATTTAGATTTACCAAGAACACTTGTACAAAGTTATTTTTGATTAATATCGTTATCATTCACAGTAGGTGTATCAGATATGGGCAAAGCAAAGAAAGATCAATCATATTCTTGTTGTTTAATAGCACATAAGGTCTTTATTTTGGATGAATTCCTGAATAACGTATTATTAGTTATTCTGTCTAGAAAAGAATGTAAAGAAAGAAGAACTAGACTAGTATTGTATATAAGTGAAAGACAATTATTTGTATGGTATACGATCGACACATGTTATTGCCAATGGCTTTCTTTGACCTGATGTCAATTGAAGATTATAGAATAATGTCGATGAACAACGTACGTGATGTTATTTTGTTTTAATTATTAATTCGAGCAAAATAAGAAACAATAGTTGGTTGGTTACACATTGCAATTTTCTGCCTTTGATTTTTAGCTCTTGGTGATTAGATGATAAGACGAACAGAAAGAAAAAGAATAAAAAGAACTAATATAATCAGTTATCTTCTTCCGTAAATCGAACGAGACGATCAATTTGACACATGTCGAACGGAAATGGCACGTCTATAAAAAGAAATGCGTCGTCGGATATAACACATCCACCAACAAAAATTTTCATCCAACATTCATTTCAATAAATTTCATTCAAACAAGATCGATTCAACAACATAATATACATCATGGTAAATTTATTTCATATAGATTAGTTCTTTCAAATAATTAATATGTATTTCCAAGATAATCAAAACAAATTTTGCTATATATATTTAGAATAAAGAAATAAACAATTTTGATCAATATCTCCCAATGTTTTCTATAATGTCCTATTCAGATATATTACACAATAATCTTTCATTAACTCTTGAATCAATCCTATCAACATGGAATAAGACAGATTTGTTTCTATCATCTGAAGAGAGTATTATTCTTTATCGTCATCCACTTTTATACGGTGTAGCAATTTATGCTCTTCTACTTATTATTGTCGGAACCATTGGTAATTAAACAAAAAAAAAACAAACTTTAATATGACTAATATTTTGTCTTTAGGAAATGTTTTAACTATTATTATTCTTATTCGTCCTAATTTACGACAACATACAACAATGCGTTATTTTATAGCAGTAGCAGTTGCTGATCTTTGTTCATTATACTCTTGGAATTTAAATTTATTCTATAAACATTTAATTAATCTCTATCAAAATGATATTGAAGATGCATCAATTATGTCTTGTCGTTTAGTATCCTTTATTGGATTTGTTAGTTTACAATTATCATCATGGTATTTAGCATTAGTTAGTGTTGATCGTTGTCTTAGTATTTATTTTCTATTTTGGCGTCGACAATTTGGTCGAGCTAGTCATTCGATTTATATTATTCTCAGTATAACAATAATAATTATTTTTCTCAATATACACTTACTTTTTTTTAATGGTTATAAACAATCCGATTGTATTCCGTATGGAAAACGTACTTGTTTTAAATGTTATGAACGTCTAAATGATAAATATTATATATTTTCGAAATGGGAAATTGTGCATGTTATTTTTTATAATTTAATCCCGTTGTCTGCCATGCTTATATCCACTTTTTTTATGATTCGTCGTTCACGATCATCCAGATATATGCACAGAATCTTATCAATTGACGGCAGAAAAGATTCACTAAAAAATTGTGATCGTCTCACTAAACATAGACAATTAACTCGTCTACTTCTATCTCTAATATTTTTATTTGCTTTCTTAACAACACCAGTTATGATTTATAATGTTTTTTTAAGAAACCACTTGACAGATCGTAAACCATTAAAATATATTCTACAAGGAATACTATTATGTAAACAATTTACGCATCATGCAGTAAGTTTATTATTGTTAATTTCTATTAAATAAGTATTAAGAAGAATTGATTTTTTTTCTTTTAGATAAATTTTTTTGTGTATTGTTATGGTGCATCAATGTTTCGTCGTGAACTTGATGAATTTTTTTTAATTTGTATAAGAAAAAAAAATTATATTATAACTCAAGCTAGAGCATCTCAACAAACCTTTTAGAAAAAAAAATGTTAAATAAAGTATTTACGTATAAATAATTTGATAGAAAAGTTATCGATCCATTAATTATTTATTGAATAAATCCTCAGGCGACTTTGTTTCCAATGATTCATATATTCATGCTATTGATAATATCAGTGATGCGGTCATTGTATTCTTATCTGTTTGTCTTTATTAAAAAAATCTTCTGTAAAACACTTTTGAGAGTTCCCTATGCGATTAACGTGATTTATAGTATTGATAAATCTTTCATAAATAGCTTTATTACTCTCTAGTGTTTTAATACAGAATTGATTTTATATGAATTCAATTCATTATATGAATTAGAAGTAAAGTTATATTTAATATTGGATCTTCAGCGATGTTTGTTTTAGATGAAGTTATTGTCATATGGGTTATGTTTTATTTGTATACGTATAATGAAAGTATTGTAATGTTTTTAATATGCCATAATAAACTTACCGCATGCATTCTTTGAATATATAGTGTTCCATAAATATCTTTATGACAAAAAGCTTCAATGACTCCCATATGTTTAATTGCAATGGACTGGATGTTTATCGATGATAGAGAATTATTCCAAGTTTATATTGATGAAAAAAAAATGTTAAAATATGTTACTCTAATTTTTCATTGTCGAGTTTAATAAAGATTTGTGAACTTTTAAGGATTATGAAAAATTTTAAATGTATAAATTCCTTCTTCAACAGAAATGTAACTAGTACTGTTATGAATTTTAGACCGACAGGTCTGACCTATTTTCCGACCGGGATCGTTACCGGTCGTCATAACTTCAAATTCTTTTCATATCTGATTTCCAAAACAAGCTTTTGAACACACTTTACAGAATATTTTTTGAATTACATTAAAGCCCAAAAACCTTTATTCAAGTTGATAGTGGTGGTTTGGAGTAATAGATCTTCATGTTTTGTTGGATTGATTAAAATTTTGAATATTTCTCTATTATCAATAAAAAATCAATCCATTGGAATGAAACGTCGACGGACATATTCAAATGTTTTATCGTAAACATTTTTATGAGACGTCCTATAATTATGCTGAATCATGAATAGATAAAAATAACAGCAAATATCAGCCCGATGACAAGACGATGTATTTCATTATTTACAGTGATAACAGAATTATGTCAGCAGCAATATTGTAATGAAAAAAGTGTTGATACTAAAGTGGATAATTTCCTCTTTGATGAATATCTTATATGGTATTTTGAAGGTTATCAATGACAGAGTTTATGAGTTTAAATTACAAGACTTTGTTAATAATTGATTCGAGTATATGTATGATCAAAAATTATAAGGATTATTTTTTTTCTTTATTGCTTTTTCAATAGAAGGGGCGTACAAGTGCATGTGAAAAAAAGCAGCTTTCCTCAGTGCATTTTATTTTCTATCATGTGATGAAATGCACACAAGATGCTTGAAAGAGGGTGTGCTGCAGTTTGTATATCTCGTGCTATTTTTCTTAAACAAATGAATCATAAGACAAGAAAAATTCACATAAATTAAATCAATATGAATTCAATTATTTCCTGCTTCTATCTTTCAAATGTGTATGAAACTTCTCGAGATTTCTTTAGCAATGTGGAAGGCATATCAAATTTGGAAACAATTTTTTTCTTGGTTTAAATAGCTTTACTTGTCCACTGTTTTAATGTTTTCTTGGTATGACAAATGATTGAGTGTGAGAAAAAAAAACATTGCATTTTAAGACAATCTCTTAGGTAATAAATCAAATTAAAATAAAATAACAGTTTGTCGAAATTTTCGTTCAGTTTCAAAACACAAAAAACCTTAAAAGCAGCTTTGTTTGATCTTATAGTGAAGAAAATTTTACATTGACTTCTGTTCTTCTAAGCAAAATCTGATTTACGTTTCTTAGATTTTGTCTTCAATAGGAAATTTCACACTAAATTAAGATACGTGGTTGATCAGAAAATTAATTCTGGTACAATACACTTTTAACAGACGAATTAAATTCAATGCACTAATCGAAAAAGAACTTGATTCATTAATTAAAATAATTAATGTGCATCGATGAAGTCACGTTATAAACTTTGATAGTGAGAAATATTTGGCATAAGAGACACTGCATATTGTTAAGAGGGTGTTTTAGGGTGTGGCAAATACAGAAAAAAAGAGACGTCTACAAAAAAAAGACATCGAAAAGATAAGAGATAGATGCGGCATAAATCATATGACATTGTTAGCTGTATTCTAGATATTAAATGCTCGAAAATATATGAGAAAGAAAGGCGTTAAATCTAAGAAAAAATTGGTTTTTTTCTGTATTCCAAGAGTTCAAAAAACTTCAGCATGTGTGGAAGAAATAGGAGTGAAAGACATTATTGTGTAGACCAGGAACGCGCATACATGCAGAGTTTACCCACGAGATATTATTTAAAAACAAGAACAAATTTTTTGCTATCAACATTTCATCAAATATTTTTAATACAAATTATGCGAAAATATTGTCATACAGCTTATACCGCTGTAACATGATACGAGTTGATGTGCTATTTTATCACGCGACAAATGTAAAGAAAAAAAAGAAACGTCTGGAAACGAGCATCGAAAATATAAAAGACATTGACGATATAAATTGTATGGCAATACAAGCGACAAAGTTATATAAGTGATACAGGAGTACAGTAGTATGAAGTTCTTAGGTGGAGTATAGATATTAAAAGTACGGAAATAAATGAGATAGAAAGGTGTTGAGGTTAAGAAGAAAGTTACTTGTTTATGTTTCAAGAATTAACAAATATTTCAGCTACTTCAAAAGATCTAAGAATATTTCTGCAACTGTTAATATCTGTGAAACACCAGTAAACTAAACAGTTCAGACTTAGATATGTTAGGATCACTAGAAAGAGCGTATTGCATAGACTAGGAATAGGCGTTATGTAAAAGCAAGAATAAAGTTGTCCCTGTCAACATTCCATTAAATGTCACTAACATCACTTTTATCACAACATCATTATATCACTTGTACCACAATACTACTATGTGACTGATACTTGTAGATATCGATTTTACTACAAAATAAATTTTCTTAAAGAAAACCTATCGGTTGCAAAATCAAGTCTGCATCGTATGTAAATGATATAAAAATAGAGACTAAAAGATGGGTATGAATAGAATAATTTTTAAGAATGTTTTCTTCGTGGAGTATACATGCAATTATACACTTTAAGTAAATTTTTATCGCTAGCTCTGTGTTCTGATTGATAGATTAAAACAATGAATAATGATGTGTATCGATTTGATTCGAGCTTATTGTTTCCTTATTTTGCTAGTAAAGAAAACGCCTCCATATAATCATATTGAGTAGTGCGTGACACTTTACAATATGTGCAGAGACAGTCGCTGAAACAAAAAATTGCCTCAAATAGTTATAAATGTCTCTAGGAATTTCTTACTTCTATAGATCAACGTCCTCGTCATACACAGTCTTTGATATGACCTTTTAAGTAGACTAATTAGCCTAGAGGATGCTGTCTACCTAGATATAAATCAAAAAATTTTCTTTACTAAGAAAATAAAGCAAAAACTCGAATTCCCGTTTCAACTTGTCGATTCAAAGAAAACAAAAGAGAGTTCGACTCAATTACCACAGAAAAAAGGTACTATGCAAAACAAATTTCTAATAACCATCGATTACTAGAAGCAGCTTTGCAGACCGAAAAATAATCGATTCTAAGTAAAATACATTACAAAATTATTTAGATACTTTCAATCAAAAAATAAATAGAAACTGCGTTCGAAGTTGTTACTCTTTTGCCTAGAAAAAAAGACAACGTTGCTTTTTGTCGATTCTACAAAATGAAAAAACTTGTTCTTAAACTTGAAAAAATTCCTCATATGCATATGACACGTGACTATTGTAATCACGTGATATTATATCTGATGTATATACCCGAATGTAGTAGTACTTAGCAGAAAACAAATATTGTTGAAATAGTGTTTTCATACAAATGAAAATCATTTTTCAACAATACTTTATATTTTCAAGTTTACTTTACAAAACTCAAGCGTAATTCTTTTCTCAAATGAATATCAATTTCAAACATGACATAAAATACAATAAGCGGTTATGAAAAAAAGTTAGATTCAAACTTCATAAATTAGTTCTTACGCTGCTTAGAACATCGTCTTGCAATCTATCTTAGGAGTGAGTAAACGTCATAGGTCTTTATTAGTTTGGATAATTGTGCTATTTCTCTTGTTTTTCTTGAGAAAAGATACCAATTGCCATTGCCTTTCACTTCCGTCCTATCTTCAATATTAGAGAAAGAGAACAAAAATAAAGGAGACGATTGACTGATATCAGCATGCAAATATAACTTACATATATAAAGGTTAAAAATATTATTTCTTTCTCTCATTTTAGATTTTAATCCCTATTTCATTCAAGTTCTTTTTATTTAATAAAGTGAGATGGAAATAAATGGTTCATGTGACTGGAAGTTTTTTGATAAAAGAGAAATTGGCATAACTTGTGCCGGTTTTAATGGCGGACAACCCAGACTAGGCGTTGATTTAGCACCAGAATATGTCTTAAAAGCTGGTTTGACACAACAACTCAATGAAATGAATTTTAACACAATATTAACAGATGATAAAATTCATTATTATAAAGAATTTTTTCCTGAATCGGACGAACCAATCGGTATTGTCAAACGACCACGAACAGTTGGTATAGTAACTAAAATTCTTACTGATCAAGTTTATCAGCATGCTAAGATTGGACGATTAGCATTACAAATTGGCGGAGACCATTCTCTGGCAATAGGAACAATCAGTGGTATGGCAAAAGCAATTAAAGAACGTTTCAATCAAGATCTTAAAGTTGTTTGGGTTGATGCTCATGCTGATATTAACACAATAGAATCAACAGAAACTGGAAATTTACATGGAATGCCAGTATCCTTTCTTATTGGTCTTAATAAGGAGAAAATTGAAGGATTAGATTGGATTGTACCTTGTTTAAAACCTGAAAATCTCGTTTATATAGGTTTACGAGATGTTGATAAAGTTGAAAAAGAAATTATTAAGAAGTA